GCAAACTCAATCCCCAGCCCTGGTCAGGGCATGCGTGGAAGAAGTCCTAGGTTCAATTCCTATCAAGGGCATGTACGTCAGTTGCAGACTCAATCCCCAGCCCTGGTCAGGGCATGCGTGGAAGTCAACATCCCCAAGTGGAATCGATTTGTCTCTCACATCCATGTTTCTCTCTCTCTGTCTCTTCCTTTCCCTTCCACTTTCTCCAAAAATTAATTGAAAAAATATCTTCAGGGGAGAATTAACAAACAAAAAAACCCCATGGACACTTAGGGTGCAAGAGCATGAGTGAGAGTTTGAACCCTCTCTGTATGTTTAGACTATTGAGTCCTGTGGCTTTCTCACCATTCCAGAAAGTAAAACACAGGTTCCTGGGCTTCACTCGCCGAGGAGCCTGAAGCAGCGCAGGCTCCTCCACTCCCGGTGCTTCTGCCAGGCTTGGGGACATTGTTCTGGATGATTTCATCAGAGGTTTGAACAATACCCAGTAACCAGCCAGCAGCTAAACACCCGGGTGCTGCTGTTTTCTGGGACAGGAGCCAGCCCCCGCCCTGGAAGCACCTCTGAAAGCTGGGTGACTCCTGACTGCGTGTGAGCCGGGGCTCCCAGGGTGGAAATCCACTGCCTTCCAGGCCTCCCTGGCCCTTGCAAGCCCAATACTCACTCCACATCCCTGTTGCCACAGCAACAGCAGACACAATGGTTTCTGTGGAATTCAAGTCTATAAATAACTTCTAGATCAGTCTTTCCGGTGTGAATGGGGTGGGCTCGGCAGGGCGGTTTGTGGTGGCCCGTGGGCCAGGCCATTGCCCCATTCCCCCGCAGCTTCTGCTCCAGAGAACACATCTGGCACTGCTCCTTCGCTCTGTGCATCTCAGAGACCCAGGGGGAACGCGTATAACCCCCTTCTGGTGACCCGGGCACTGAAGAGCTCAGAGGAGCGGACTTGGAGCTGTTGCTGTGCTGGCAAGGGTGGTGTCCATTTCATGTCTCAGTCGGGCCGGGCGAGCTCTGGCAGCGCAGGAGGATCTGGATCTAGTCTCGCTGGCTCCCTCGGTGCAGACAGCAGTTCTGAGGATGCTCTAAAGATGCCCTTTCTAACCGGTCCTCTTATTTACTTGTTTGTTTGTGTTAATAACAATGTTTCTAGCAAACGGCTCACATTCCCAAACCAAGAGTTGAAGAGGCAGATTTTGTCACTTTAAAATCAAACCAATTGAACACCTTTGCTCTCTAATGAGTGAATTCCCTGGGACTCCGGAAGGGCTCCTTGGCCCATGTCGCGCGCATGGCATTAGGAGCAGGAGGTTGCTCTGATGCATGGTGGGCAGGACTGAGTGGGGCAGCCCCTTTGGAGGGCCATGAAATGACAGCACTGAGATGCAAGTCCCTCTGTGCAGCGGTTCCACCTCTTAGGGTCCCTTCTGACCAGTACCTGGGCATGTGTGTGCCAATGCACTTTTCACAGGCGTGCAAGGGGCGATGCTCCACACAGCTCTGTTTGCTATAGCGAAGACCAAGAACAGCCTGATGTCTGTGGGAGGGAGGAGTGGATAAACGCAGCCTGGCACTCAGAGACCACCAACCAGCACATAGTCAGACAAACAGAAGAGGAGGATCTGTGAGTGATGCAGGGCTCTCTCTGAGATAAATTAAGGAAAAAGGGCAAGGTGCATGAATGTTCTCACTTATGTAAGAAGAAATGTGTAATGTATGACGAACACACATATATATGCATATAGGTATGGGGATATATGTACATACACACATACATATGTGGATAGGGGAGGATTTCTGAAAATACACATAGGAAACTGATGACTTTGCTTAGCTTTGAAAAAGACAGTCTTTTTACAAAAAAAAAGATTTGGGGTGGAAGGAGACTTACTTTTCATTGCATACTTTTCTGTAGCATTTGGGTTTCATTTATTTGCATAAATTATTTTTTCAGTTAAAAATAGATTAATGGAAGCATGGAGAAAAGTAAGGGAGAAAGCAGAAAGGAGGCAGGAGGAAGGGAGGAAGCTGGGCAGGGAAGCGAAAAATTAATTTCTTCTAATTCTCACACCTCTAGAGCTTACTTTCTGGCTATGTGGCTGGAAGGTCAGAGGTCACTGGCCCTGGTGTATTTTCCATCAGAGGCCCAGCAAATGCAAACCAGGTATGGGAGTGGTTTTCTCTGATCCTGCATCAGCTCCAGGGCTGCTGGGCAATGTTTCCTGAGAGGCAAAGGGCAACCTGTGAATCTGTTCCCCCGACTGAGAGGACGCCGGGGCTTTGGATTCTCCGAGAAGCTGGATGAACCAAAAGCAACTCCCTGGGGGCAGCCGCATTTGCCCTCAGCCCAAATGCAGTCCACCTCGCTGGCCAGTTGAGAAAAGGGCAGGGAAAATGAATGAAAAGGACTTGGAAAGTGTGTTTTTCCCATTTCTGAAATGAATACAGATCTCTCGTGCAACTGGGCCTCAGGAGCCGGTGTACTCGCTGCCCGTGGCGGCGGTGCTAATAGTGAAGAGGGGAGCTGTTCATCAGCTATGGTTTCACTCAGATGGGTGGGAATGACCTTGATGTAGAGGCTGTGAGGTCTGGGGGATATAAGTGGGTCTCGGGGTGTTTTCTCACTCTTGACTCCAGCAAGACACACCAGCATGTTTTGAAAATGCAGATATTAGGCTCCTCCACCAGGGAGGCTGACCCAGTAACGCTGGGATGGGTTCAGGAAGCTGCCACGAGTGACCGACCCGCAGGCTAGGACAGCGAGGCACGTGCACCCTGAGACATATACAAGATGATCCATTGGAACTGCAGGAGAAACTATTATAATTTCAACTTCAATTAATCTCCTCCTCTTAAAGTTTCTCTTTTATGTTTGACTATGTGCAGAAAATGGTAGTAACAGACTACAGATATATGCTTTGTAAGTGAGATTAGTAACAATAGCTAGTCCTTATACTGCCTACACGGCACAGCCCTGCTCCAAGCCTCTTACAGCTATTCATTCATTTGCTCCTCACAGCTCTATGAGATGTTATTATCCCTGTGATGGACTGAATTGTGTTCGCCCACCAAATGCATATGTTGAAGCCCTAACCCCCAATATGGCTGAATTGGCAGTAATGAAATAATATAGAAATGAGGTCCTAGAGGGTTATTGTCCTTCAGAGGAAACATAAGACAGCTTGTTCTCTCTGCCCTCCACGTAAAGACATGGCGGGAAGGAAATAAACTACAAGCCAGAAAGAGGGCTTTCCCCAGACACCCATCAGCCAGGAACTTGATCTTGGATTTACAGCCTCCAGAACTGAGACAATCAATGCCTGTTGTTTAAACCACCCAGGCGGTGCCAGTTTGTTATGGCAGCCACAGGAAACGAACACCCACATCCTGCAGGTGAGGAAACGAAGGTGTGGAGAGGCTAAGAAGTCTGGCCATGGCAGTGCAGCCAGGAGGTGGGGGCTGGTAATTTGGTCTGGAGCCCAGGCTTTAATTACATATACTGGGGCAGTTTAAAACACACACACACACACACACACACACACACACACAAAAACAAGCTCATATTGGAATATGTTCAAAAAAAGTTTGGAAACTACCAGATTAAAAAGAAAGTATGAGAGTCTGTGGTAGACGGAATAACACCCGCGGGATGTCCAGGGCCTGGTCCCTGGGACCTGGGACTACTTACCTTACCAAGTAATTTGCTGCCTTTGGCAAAAGACACTTTGCAGACATGATCAGTTAAGGGCGCTGGGATTGAGGGGATTACCCTTCGTCACCCAGCCACGCCCTGATGCAATCCTAAATGTCCTGATAAGAGGGAGGCAGGCAGCCCGAGCGGAGAGATGCCACCCTGCTGGCTTTACAGGTGGATGAAGGGGCCACAAACCAAGGAATGTGGCGTCTCTAGAAACCGGAAAAGCAAGAGAATGAATTCACCTCTAGAACCTCCAGAAGAAACACAGTCCTGCAGGCTATTTTGGACTGCTGGCCTCCAGAGCTTTAAGATAATACATTTATGTTGTTTTAAGTAACTAAGTGTGTGGTAATATGTTAAAATAGTAGGAAACTATCCAGAGGGGGAAAAAAACCTGAAGATTTGGGGGGATCGTCAAGGGGATGATATGGTTGGGGAGAAAGTGATTCCCAATTTAGTGCTGAAATAAGCTGCCGGTGTACCTGCACCTCTGCAATGTGACTTGGCAAATCTGCAGAGCGCTTTGGCCACTAGAACACGGGGGAAGTGATGATGTGTGACTTGTGACCTCAGTCTCAAGAGACATTGCGGTCCCACTCTCACCTTCTCAGAACAGTGTGAAGATGCCCGATGTGTCTATGGAGAATGAAGCCACTTGGAGCAGAGGATAGCCATGGACGTTGTGCCAATAGCCAGTACTGCCCACCAGGTATGTGGGAGGGCCATCTTTAACTACAAGATGCCCAATGAACCACAAGATGATGTGAGTGGTCCTAGGTGTGACAGTGGAAGTACTGCCAGCTGACCCGCCCAAACTGCCCTGCCTGAAGTAGCTCGAGGATGGTAGAACCAGGTCCCACCCTATCAGGAGTGAGGGAGGGGTGACACCTCACAGGTTATCCTCCACCTCTTCTCCCCTCATTACTGTCCTCACCTCCTACCAGTTTCAATAACAACAGTAGCAGTAAACTTCCATTCAATCTGTTAATCCTCATGACAATCCTTTGAGGTAGTCATATAATCCCCATTTTACAGATGAGGAAACCGAGGCCGAGAAATTAATGGGCCAAGATCACACAGTAGGTGAGCGGAGGGAGTGGACTCGAACTCAGATTTATCCAACACTGGAGCCATTCTCATCGTGGCTTTTGCTAACCTGGTCCCTTCACTCATTCATGCAAAATAAGTTTACTGAGGGTTTTACTCCCAATGCTTGGAAGGGACCAGCTTGAAAAAATGAACAAAAGTGAGTCCCTTTGTGAATAGCTATTCAAATAAAGAATCACCAACCATGATGGTTCCTGGGCTTTATGATTGTGTCAGTGATGAATTTGGGGTGAATGTGAGAGTGGCCATTTGTTCCAAGTATAAATTAGGATTGTGTTCAGCTGTAACAGAAAACCTACCCCCATGGCTTACCAGCTAAGGGTTTCATTTCACATAAGAAGTCTGAAGAGTCCAGGGTTGTTCAGCAACTGCATGGCGTTGTCTGTGCAGCTCTGCTGTGTGTCTTTCGTGTGCGGCTTCCCCCTGCTGTGGGGTTTCTGACCACAGGGTGAGAAGGGCTTGGCTGCAGTTGAGCTGGTTTGGATCCAATGCTCACCCCTGGCCCAAGCCCTGTGGCTAGACAGATGATGGTTACAGTTGGCCAACCCAGGTCATGGGCTTCCCCTATGGGAAGGGGATTGGTTTGCTATCAAGCAAATGGGGAGGTTAGGAGCGGGGATAGAAAGAGTGGACCAGATTACCCAAAGTGGCTGCAACAATATCTCCCACCCCACATGCTCCTCTTACAGAGGGACTTTACCACTGCTCCCAAAAGAAGTGAGATCTAGATTTCCTTCCCTTGAGTGGGAGTGGGCTTGTGACAATGGTCAAAGTGACTCTATGTGACAACCGAGGACAGATCATAAAAGGTGATGTATCTTCCATCTGGTTCTGTTAGGATGTTCACTCCTGGCAGCCAGCCACCATGGAGAAGTCACATGTGGGTGTCTGAACTGAGGTCCGCCAGACCTGAGAGTGAGAAAAACTTCAGCTGAGCCCGGCTCACAGCACGAGTCACCCTCAGGCTTTGAGCTGCCCCAGCTGAATCCACATAGAGCAGAGATGAGCGGCCTGCCAACCCCTGCTCAAATCAGATTGGTCGCCATAATATTTTTTTTTCTTCTTGTAGCCACTAGGTTTGGGGTAGTTTGTTAGGCAGCAGCGGATAATTAGAATAAGAGGTGATGAGTGCAGGAGACAAGACAGGCACTATTCCATCATATCCTTTCTTCTGGGGAGGTGAGAGGGAGTCAGGCAAGAGAAACCTGGAAAAAGAAAGGTACAGAAGTTCCTGACTTGCCAGCATCAGAGCAAGGTCATTGGATGTGTGTGTGTCTGTTTCTTTCAAACATGAAAGCATCTAACCAATCATTTGGTTGCATAGTAGCTGGATTAAAAGAGACCCAGAGACAGTATTGCCAGGACGGAAAGAGAGTGAAGCGATAAATTTATAAGGCATTTGCCGGAATAGCCTTGTTCCCCACCCTCCATGCCTCCTCTCCAACCAGGTGGAACTGCAGTTATGCCTGGCCTGAGACCCACCCACATTCCTGTACCAATTCTGGTCGTGGGCAGAACCCCAGGGTCAAGTGGCTCTGTGATGAGTTCTATCAGCAATTTTCAACCTTTTTCATCTCATGGCACACGTAAACTAATTACTAAAATTTTGTGGCACACCAAAAAATACATCCTATTTTTTGCTAATCTGAGAAAAAAATAGGTATAATTTTGATTCATTCACACTGGATGGCTATCATTGTGTTGGCTGTTGTCATTTTTTTTTAATTTGACAATCTAAGGGAAAAGAGGTCAGTCCCCCTGACTAGACAGACAGGTATTGCACGTTTTAAAAAATGGGGAACATTGGTTGAAAACTGCTGGGTTCTGTTCTTGCTGACAGTACTCTGTGCCTCTTGTCTAAGTCATGATCCTTGCTGCTTTGTTCATTTCCCTGGCTCTTTTTTTAAAAAATATATATTTTATTGATTTTTTTACAGAGAGGAAGGGAGAGGGATAGAGAGTTAGAAACATCGATGAGAGAGAAACATCAATCAGCTGCCTCCTGCACACCTCCTACTGGGGATGTGCCCGCAACCAAGGTACATGCCCTTGACCGGAATCGAACCCGGGACCCTTCAGTCCGCAGGCAGACGCTCTATCCACTGAGCCACACCGGTTAGGGCTCCCCTGGCTCTTTGATTTGAGTTGTTAATTATGGACATGACCTTGTTAAAAATTTTTTTGCCATGTCTAATTTTTTTCTGTAGATGCAAGTTTTAATGTAGTCACATCATCTGAGAATAATGATAGTTTTGTTTCTTCCTTTCCAAACCTTACAACTTTTATTACTTTTCTTATTTCCCTAGTCTGGTAGCTCCCCCCGTAAAATGATGAACAGAAGCAAAGATAGAGTTAACCTTGTCTTGTTCCTGATTTTAAAGACTGCTTTGAATGTGCATCATTAAGAATGACGTTAACTGTAGCATTTTGACAGATATACTTTATCATATTAAGAAAGTTTAATTTTGTTCTCAAGTTGCCAAGAAATTTTATTACGAAAGAAAGTTGATTTTAGCATTATTCTTTTTTATATATCAAAAATTGAGTTTGCTACTATTGTGTGTAAAATTTTTGTGTCTATTTTCATGGGTGACTTTGACCTATAATTTTCCATTCTTATACTATTCTCTTCAGGTTTGATATCATGATAATACTGGCCTTATAAAACAAGTTTGGAAATATTTCTTCTTTTTGTATTCCTTGGAAGAGTTCATATAAGACTAGAATGATAGACTTTTACATGTTTGGTAGAAATCATCTGGGTCTGGTATGCTCATTGTAGGAAGATTTTAAACTATGTTTAATTTCTTAATTGGTTATAGGACTATTCAGACTTTCTATTCTTTTTTGAGTCAGTTTTGTCAATTATGTTTTTTCTAGGAATCTTTCCATTTTCCTGCCACTCTCTGAATTGGAAGAATACTTCCCTGGCCACCCTTAGAGTATATTCTTGCCTTCTAAATGTTAAGCTGATCTCTCAGAATTTACCTTCTAATCTCTTTGGAACCCCAGTGTCCACCCCTCTTTTTGTGTTGGCATCTGTATCAGAATGATTTGGGCTGCAAGTAGTAGAACAGTTAACTAAAAATGGCTCAAACAACAAAGTAGTTTTACTAATGCAAGTGGGAAGTCCAGAGGCAGGCAGTTCCAGGGCTTGTTCAGGGCATAATGATACCACTGAGGACCCAAACTCTTTCTATGCCCCATCCTCAGCATGTTTCTCTGATTCTTAGGTCTATCTCCACTTGGTTATATGATAGCTGTTGTATTTCCAGCAGACTTCCTCCAGGTCCTGTTGCCAACAGTGGGGCATTGAGGGAGACTGGCACAGTGAGGACGTGGAACTTCTAGACTCTACAGTGGGTGTCAGGCCCTGCAGCCAGGAGTGGGAGAGGCTGGTGGGCAGAAAACCACTTCTGCTCTAGCACATTTGGGCTTAACCCTGGCCTTGTCTCATCAGACCCTCTCCTGATGTCTGTGTCCTGTTGCTACTCAGGCCAGCTTAACAGAAAGTACTAGAACCTGTGGTGTGCTGGTTAGTGTTTAACAACTGGCTCTCAGGGTGGGGGAAGCCCTCATTGGAAGGTTTGCTGATTTTCAGGGTGCAAATGCTCCTACTGTGTTGATTTCTAGCTGCCAATGTGACACACTGAATGCAGAGTTGGGAAGAGCTGCGCACAGCTGGTCCTCAGGTGCACAGCCAGCTCCAGGGCGCCCCTCACTACAGCCCAGCTAGATTCTGTAAATTTGAGCAGAGCAGAGGGGCATGCCCTACTCTGGCCAGAGGGTAATAATCAGGCATTAAAGAGGTTGGCTTGAGACAAATGTTGAATACATACTGTATGATAATCACGTATGAGCACAGTCTTGATTCCTCCTAATCATCCATTTCCCCGATGAGGAAACTGAGATTCAGAGAGGTTAAGGCACACAGTGACTGATATGGAATCAGATCCAAACCCAGGCCCATCTTATTCATGTCCTTTCACCCAAACAAAGGAGCAGATTCAGAACAGAGTCAGCTAGTTCTCAATCAACACCCACAACGTGCCCGGGGCTAGTGCCCTGAAAGTGGAGTATTATTCATAACAGCAAAATGTGAGAACAACAAATATCCATCAGCTGATGAATGGATAGATAAATGTTGTATCTCAAACAATAAAATATTATTCAGCCATAAAAGGGGATGAAGTCCTGACACATGCTACGATGTGGATGAAACTAAGAAAACTACGCTGAGTGAAAGTAGTCACAAAGACAGGGCATTGTGTGTTTCCATTTACATGGAATGCCCAGAATGGGCAAATGAACAGGAACAGAAAGTGGTTCCAGGAGCTGAAGGGAGGAGGGAATGAGGAGTGACCACTAATGGATATGGGGCTTCTTTCTGGGGTGATGAAAACTTTCTGGAATTTGATAGCAATGTTGGTTGCCCAACTGTGTGAATACCCTAAAAACCACGAATTGTAAAACAAATTAAAAATGTGGAGGATTAATTGAAAAGGGGTTTTCTTTGCCCCACCCTCCCCCAGGCTGTGGCTTTCTATAAACTTATGATCACTGAGCAAGACTTTCCATGTCTCGTAGGTACCTGTGCTAAGTTAGCATGTTATATGCATCTTTCTCACTAATGATTCTCAACCACCCTATAATTGGGAAATATTATTAACCCTGTTTACAGATGAGGAAACTGAGACTCAGAGAGCAATTAATCAGTTGGCTCAAAAGCACCCGGCCAGTTGGCGGCAGAGCCAGGACTTGGACCCAGGCCCATCTGACTGCAAAGTATGTGTTCTGAACACTCCACTGTCAAAGTGAGGTCCAGATCATTGGCAGAGTCCTCTTTCCTCCTCCCAGGACTCCAGAGTTCAGGTGACTCAGCAGCTCACAAGGTTACTTAGCTTAGAAGCTTCTGTTTTCCAACCCCCACTGTCCCTCAGCAAGAAAGACTGAGTGCCGGCAGGGTCTCTATTGCCAAAAAGAAGCCCTATACTAAGGTAACAGGGTCCCCTGGATGTGCTTGCATCCCCCATCCCCACCCCAATGGTGGGTGTGTGACACAGGGTAGGGATGCAAGCACTTCCCATCTCTCAGCCTCATTTTGCTTAAAAAATCAGTAGTCTTCGGCAGGGGTGGTGCTGCCTCTTAGAGGGTATTCTGGAAGTTTGCAGGGGTTCAATGACTGCAGCAGTCTCCCAAATGAAGAATTCCCTAAAGCCTTCCACTTTCCAATGTCCCACCAGACCTTCATGTAAATGGAAATCCTCCTATAATTTATGGGTCTAGACCAGTGATGGCGAACCTTTTGAAAAACCCTAACTTAACTCTGGTGCCGTGTCACATATAGAAATTTTTTGATATTTGCAACCAAAGTAAAACAAAGACTTATATTTTTGATATTTATTTTATATATTTAAATGCCATTTAACAAAGAAAAATCAACCCAAAAAATGAGTTCGCGTGTCACCTCTGACACGCATGTCATAGGTTCGCCATCACTGGTCTAGACTCTAGCTCCACCTTCTGTCTTTGCACAGCTGTACTATACATCAGATATTCTAGGAGTACAACTCCCACATGATCAAGGAGAGAGCATCACTTCTTCTGTTTGGAACTTTATTAAGAATTGTTCACCATTTTGGAAAATCTCATCACCAGCAGTGGTGCCTTCATGGTATTCAAGCCTCCATGTGTCACACATGTGTCACCATGATGCTCCCTCTGGGTACAAGCGTCTGACCACTTCATCATGGCGTCTTCTATGGTCAGACTCAAACATTTATTTTGAAATCCATATTGTTTTACTGTAAGTGATTTTTATTTTTTATGTTATAGTTAGGGCATTACGCTTGCTTTTTGCCATTGGTGTGTAGGTAGGATGTGTTTGGTCTAAGTTTCATTTCAGAATATGAAAAAAAAAGCATTACAAAATATTTCTCAATAGAAAAAAGAAGTTGTTAGGGCTAACGGCCATGGATCCACTGAGCTACATGATTTCTTCAAATCCCTGACAGCTTTTAAATAATTAAAACTGACCTCAGAAAACTTTTTCCATAATTCTAATAAAATCAAGTGCACAACACCTTTTACATAATTCCCAAAGCAATGCTGCACCGCAGTGGCCCCTGTGCTGATTTCAAGTAAGTGACCCTATGGACTCTTAAGAAGCTTCCTTCTGTCCCCTGGTGGGAAAACTACCTCGTGA